CGGATAATAAACTACTCACATGAAATTATCCTGAAAAATACGAAACTTGCTCATTTCAGTCTAATAAAGTAAAGAGCGTCCATCGGCACGAGAGATCAACTTATCTCTGCAAATGTATCATTCAAATAAACGATGCTGAACATAGTAAGGAGACAACAAAGTAGTTTGATATCTTTGAATTTTTAATGATTAAAGTTCTCCTAGAGTGGCTCGATGACTGTCTGCCTCCTAGTCATCAAATTGCGTTCAAGTGTTCGTATATTTTGTTCATTTATAGTCACGGACGAAACGGAAATGAAATTGAATCGATTGCATAACCTTTGGATAACGTTCAACCCTCAACTGCCCTAAAAATTCTAATTGACGAAAGAGTGCTAAAACTAGCCTGAAACCAAACAATTAATCCATTGGACTTAAAATTATGAAAGGTGGTCATTTACCAAAACGTTTGGGATCACATATTCACAAGAATTGATTGTATAATAAGCTGGAAACATCATACACAGTCATCAAGCGAATGCCCCACCCTCCTGCCTATATTCCGCAGATTCCTCTATGTACCTTTGTTGGGGCACGTTTCGACTTTCGAGATATTGAAATTATATCGAGATGTGACGTCACACAAAATGCGACTATTACTGTGCATTTTTTTTTATTTTGCCCTAGTTAAAAATGGGCCCCATGGAGAGACTTCTAACTTCAGGGGTTCAGTTTTGACACAAAACATTCCCCTTCAGGAATAGTTCGATTCTTCTACGAGAAGCTTTTCTAGCACTCTCCATGCGAACGGCGGGGAATTTTATAAGACTTGTGAGAGATCAAAGCACTCGTTTGAAAGCGCGAGCAGCGAGAAGAATGTGCACTCTTGAAAATATTTGCGCACACACTTCAGTAACTGTAATTTTCCTCTCCGAAGTTTTCAGTTTGTTTTTGCGACTTGCCGATTTCCAATTATCAGGTCCCTCGATCACGAGCTATAAACCCTCGAAAATGGTTGACTCATTCACCTAACAATAAAGTTTATTTAAATGAGCAAATAAATAGAGGCAGCTCTCTCCCAGTGAAGAGTTTTCAACGCGAAACGTGCTAAGGAAGAACGCCGTATGAGCCTCCAGACGTTGCCGTATCTCCTTTAATAAAAAACGAATTTACTGAGAAAGTTATGAATATTTTTTTTCACAATTTGTAGACAATTTTGCTTGTGATCTAACCTGGAATAACTGGAAATTTCAATGGAAATGATGAAGAACTGTCTTCAAGAGTACATGTTTTTTGCGGTGAAATTTGGCAACTCCCGAATGTTCATACGGTGTTATCTCTATACTATACTAGGGGGCTACGCCCCCTGGCCGCTACGCGGCCCAACCCCCTGAAGGCGCTCCGCGCCATCAATGGACCGCTTCGCGGCCCTATTTTTACCCTCCTATCAGTGTTAGTTTTATTTTTCTCCTAAAAAATTACGAAATGAGGTATACTTTAATTTTAAACTTTACTTAAAATTACTTTAAAATTAAAAGGACGCGTTTTGGATTGACTGCTTGATGAAATATTGCTGTAAAACAATAATACTGAAGATTTCATGAGTCGGGGATCGAACCCATACCGAGTTCTCAATGTGGACGCATCCGACGTCTTAAACGACTCGGCCATCGCTTGACGTGATGTCCTCAGTGCGAATCTTGTGTAGATAAGTGTAGAGCTGATGCGCAGGCTACACAGCTACTGCGCAACCTCCTCGACCACTGCGCATCCTCCCGCGCATAGCGGTAGCAGTCTCGGAGCATTCTGAAAATTCACTCACTTTTATAACGTGATTGTAAAAAAACCTGGGTCCTATTTCCAAAATCTGAATAAAGCGGGCTCATCTAGGGCCAATTACCCGTCGATTACCGCAAAAAACTTAGAAATCGGCCCGGTAGAACGCTCAAACGAACTATGACAAAAAATATAAATTTACATTGTTTAAATGGGAGAATTCGCAACTTTACCACTTAATATAAAAAAACCTAGGCCATATTTTGAAAATCTGAAAAGAGTTGGCTTATCTAGAGACAATTGTCCGTCGATAGCCGCAAAAATCATAAAAATCGGCCCGGTAGAACGCTGGAACTAAGCGTTACCAGTTTCGCAAAATTAGGAGGCTTGAGAGCTTATAGTATAGAAGCTCCAAGACCTCCTAATTTTGCGAAACTGGTAACGCTTAGTTCCAGCGTTCTACCGGGCCGATTTTCATGATTTTTGCGGCTATCGACGGGCAATTGCCTCTAAATAAGCCAACTTTTTTCAGATTTTCAAAATATGGCCCAGGTTTTTTTATATTACGTGGTAAAGTTGCGAATTCTCCCATTTAAACAATGTAAATTTATACTTTTTGTCATAGTTCGTTTGAGCGTTCTACCGGGCCGATTTCCATGATTTTTGCGTAAATCGACAGGTAATAGGCCCTAGATGAGCCCGCTGCAATCAGATTTTGGAAAAAGGACCCAGGTTTTTTTAAAATCACGTCATAAAAGTGAGTGAGTTTACAGAATGCTCCAGTACTGCTACCGCTATGCGCGGGAGGATGCGCAATGGTCGAGGAGGTTGCGCAGTAGCTGGGTAGCCTGCGCATCAGCTCTACACTTATCTACACAAGATTCGCACCTACGACTTCATGACGAGCGGTGGCCGAGTCGTCTAAAACGTAGAATGCGTCCGCTTTGATCACAGTGTGGGTTCGATCCCCGACTCATGAGATCTTAATTATTACCTGACTTTCACTGTTCATTGTTTTATTGCAACATTTCATCAAGCAGTCATTCCAAAACGCGTCCTTTTAATTTTAAAGTATTTTAAAGTAAAGTTTAAAATTAAAGTATACCTCATATCGTATTTTTTTAGGGGAAAAATAAAACTAACACTGATAGGAGGGTAAAAATAGGGCCGCGAAGCGGCCCATTGATGGCGCGGGGCGCCTTCAGGGGGTTGGGCCGCGTAGCGGCCAGGGGGCGTAGCCCCCTAGTTTCCTATAGCACGGCAGTACGAGCCAAACGGCTTCGATAGCTGAAGTTGAAAGTGTGTAAGTGGACAGAGTTTATCAGGTAGGCACCAACCCCTCATTTCCCAAAAAATTGAGATAAGAATTTTTTTGAGTATATTTTCTCCAGCTAAAAATTATAAGTCGGAAAATAAATTAGTCTAGGAAAAGAGGGGTTAAAGTATATATTCTAAACTGAGTCTTATGGAGAAATAAAACTTCAAGCCTCTTTTTCTTAGTTTCAACTTTATGTTGATTGGTTCCTTTCTGATGAACTCGGTCCAATAACGTCTCATTTTTTTTCCAAGAAAAAAAAAAAAACAACAACCAACTAGAGGGCTACACGCTCCTGACTACTGTACGGTCCAACATTTCAAAGCGCTTCGCGCTTCAGGCGTAGTGCGTTACACGCTCCTCTCTTGATTTTGATATAAAACACGCAAATCCTGCGACACGGCCCGAAATGATTTCATTCATTTGTACACGGTTTCTATCAGTGGCGGCGCGTGAACGATCGCTTGTCGATATTTCCCCATTTGAAGCTATGGTAAAAAATCGATTATTAAGGTGTTCGAACAACCTGTATACAGATCTTTTAGGTTTAAAGCATAAATCAATCGATCTATCGCTTGACTTGCCACGCCGATAGTTCCTATCCGGATGAAAGAGTTCAATCTCTAGCCCCAAGAATGGTAAATGAAATCCTACAGAATATATGTCTCTTTAGAGAAGTTCCTGGAGAGTCTTCTTATTTAAATTTAAAACCCCAGCTGTTAAAACTCTGGTATTCGTTCAACACTATTGGGTCAAGAAAAACAGGAGCGCCTTCATTTTTTGAGGATGCAACCCGGGTTCCCGCAGAGCACGAATAGTTGCTTCAAGGCGCTATGTCAACATCGCACTTGCGGTAAGTTCCAATGGTCTGTAAGCCGTTCATAAGAAAAGGACCATATGCACATTCGAGTGTGAGTGTTGCCAAATTTCTTCTAATAAAACATCATTTTTTAGGAAAATTAAGAATACTTATCTTTGGAGCTTTTAGACACTTTAAATTGAAAACGCGAAAAAAATTCGATTAAAAATTGGAAGAGAATTACTAAATTTTCCCAGAATGTTCGGATTTTACCAAGCGTTTGCCAACGTTCAAAGAGTCTTGAGGTGTTTTTCCTTAGCGAAGCAACATAAGCGTTCGCTGGACCGCGGCAAGATGTAACAGTTTGTTTTTACGAAGAGACTATTCGCTAATGCCTTACCGAGGAATAAAACATTATTCGTCAGTACCGTGTTAATAAATAAAACGCTTTAATCATCAATAAGGCTCAATGATAAACATTTTTTGTCCAACAACTAATGAAAATTAAACTAAAACTAGAGAGCTCCCTAAGGTCTTAATAGTAATATTAAAAAAAAAAAAAAAAAAAAAAAAAAAAAAAAAAAAAAAAAAAAAAAAAAAAAAAAATGTTGAAGATAAATTTTAACGACTGTTTTTGCGATGAAAATATTTTATTTCGACTTGAAATTTTTGACAAGTGACAATGTACAACCAGTGGCGTGGCGTGAATTGCGATATATCGATTGTTCTGCCATTTAAACCCATGGTTAAGAATCGATTATTAAGGCGTTAGCTGCGAACACCCTGTTTATCGATCCTTTTCCATAGGTTTAAATGACCAATAAATCGATATATCGCAAAGCATGTTACGCCACTGTGTACAACAAGTCGATTTCAAAACTATTTCGAATTCTTTTTTCCCCCAAAACGGGCTTGCTGCACCTTGGTTAAACTCGGCCCAATTTAGTATCGTTTCAATAGCGCGACGCGATAAGAGCTTTTGTCCCTAGGTGTGGGGGGGGCGGGGGGAGCGTAGGAGCAGAGATTCACCTCTAACGAACTTTTCGAGCAGGTTGTACGGTGGCCTTCACTCTGTGCCGTTATCTTGAGTTCAACCGACCGCGAATTTTATCTATCACCTGGGATTATCGAGCGCCTAGCCCGTCACCCTTCCCCGCAACGCCCGCGGTTCGCGCTGATAAGAATATTCGTCGATTTAGATGTTACATCCCGAAACCGGTAAATCAAAACTGAGTTCCCGATACCGCATCGGTTTGACCGTCGCGTCCCGCCATGGCGCCGCTCGCCTCCATTTAACTTACTCAACTTCATGTAACTTACTTAACTTCATGTAACTTACTTAACTTAATGTAACTTCCTCAACGTAATGTAACTTAATTTAACTTAACGTGCCTCGTACACATTCAAACAAAATGCAACCTGCGTGATACCTATGATCTGAATTATTTATGTTACCCCTTAAACGATGGGATAAAATTTACAAGTGCGTGCTCCACCGGTCTTTTGGTTAAATTTCAGTGTGTGCTTGGAGTTATTTCATCCATTCCAATATGATTGCTAAACGTTTTTTGGATCTAGGTATGGTTGTGATCATTTTTTTGGCGCTCCTGAAATGCTCGTCCTCTCTCAAGGGCTCCAAATATTTTATGCTGGGACAACTATCCACCACAGGTTTGTGCATGCATCGAAGATTCTCTCTCTCCTTCATAATTTTTTAAGACAAACAGAAAAACACAGTCAGATTCATCAAATTAGTTAAGTAAACTCGTCTCGTACGAAAAATTTTCAATCCCAACTCACTTTAGTACTCCCAACACTTGGTAGGAGACAGGTATCTTATACTCATAAGGATCTCCAAGATCCATTATCAATTCGATGCCTATCGGTCTAAAGAAAGATTCTGATGATCTGTCATAAAAAGCTTACTGCTTGTCTCTGTTAGGCACGATTCCACTAGTGTCAACAATTTTTATGGGTCTGAAAGATCTTGTTTAAAGAGACATTTATCTTTGAGTTTTTTCCACCGAAATGACACCCCAAGGGTGGATTGCCTTCAATTCAGTTCTTGATGAAATATCATATCATATTCTTTTCGATTTAGAAGTTTTCCGACTAGTTTGGCGGATGGAGGACGGGAGAGGGCTCAGAACATTTTGCTGAAAAAACAGGGTGGGTCAGAGTAAACAGCTGGACCCTTATTTAAATAAAATTGCAACACTTTTAAAGTTTAGCTTGATTCACGATTTGCAACTATTGACAGATAGTATTTTTAATTTTAAATATTTTTCCTCCCCTATGATCAGTATTCAAGAAAATCGAAGGTTTGGATTTTTTATAGAGGAAATTTAGTTTTTTATTCTTCAACTAACGAAACGGGAAAGAGAACTGAACGGACCGTTTTATCACATTTTCCCACTCTTTGCACTTTAGCTAACTCAGCAGACGTGTCATTGTGAGGAACTAACACAGTAAAAAAGTGAAATAAATACTTCCCCCACTGCAGAGATATGAAAGTTATTTTTCGCACCTGTAATACAGCTCTAGACACGAAAATGAAAATTATCTCCTCCTTTTTCTTTTCGTTATGACATTGATGATCAAAAAAGCAATGTAGAAGGGAGAAACATGATGATGAGGGGACAAGAAAAAAAAGTATCTGATACGAGTCCATCTTCCGATCAAAAATTCTAAGAACAAGTTCTTTTTGCTCAGTGGTGTGAAAAATCTCATGTTGATCTGACATTCTGAACTCATCCTTTGGTGTATTATTATAGTTGACTATAGGAGGAAACCATTCGTAGCGTTTCCAAACTTCACAGTTGCAAGAACCAACAGACTCGTCCGCAGGAAAAGTGGAAAAAACTCAGAACTTAGGCTTCCCCGAGCCAACGAAGTAAGCTTTCTCTTCAACACATACTTTGCATGCTACAACCCTGACCGCTCTACAACTTGATGCATGCTACGGGGTTTATGTTAGCGGAGGAACCACAAACATCACAGAGGTGTTTCGTACAGGACACTGTGTCTTCATCCATTTTTTTTTTACTTTCTACACGAATCAATTATTTTGAAATACACTCCTAGCTTCACAATCGTGCGTTTTTCAAAGCTATCCGCTTCAAAAACGATACTAAGGCACAGGTGAACACTGAACATTCCGTTAGAGGAGTCGTTTCACATCCAACCCTTTCGCAACCTACAACGCGGATTATGGATGTCACAAACGGGAATCACATACAAATCGGCCGTTTTTAGTGATTTTTGGTCAACTCATTCCCGAATTCCTCTCTCCGTTCCCTCTCTCAGTCCATTTGTTTCTTGCCGGACCCCCCATTCCCCGGTCCATTCCAGTTTATCATATTTGCAATTGGTGAGAATGTAATCTTTATTCCCGTTTGTGACACTAAAATACGGGAACCAATCACGTGTCTTTACTCTCAGTGTAAAGGGACTCTAATTCAACATGGCTGACGCTTCCGGACGAAAACCGTGAGGAGGCACCTGTCACGGACTTCGGATCGGTCGAGATACCATGTCACGTTTGACGGATTGGTTGAGTTTTAGACGGATTGAAAACATCTAAATGAACTGCATTTTGCAATTTGGAACTATAAATTCTGGCTCATTTGAAAAAACACTTATGTGCATAGGGAAACTAATGGCACGTACGTTGTTTTTAAACCGGGCCGGAATTTATAGTTCCAAATTGCAAAATGCAGTCCAAATGATCCTATCCTTATAAGTACGCGCTCTAGAAATAGCTAGGATTGTAGGAGCGCAGAAATTGAACAAGAGAATAGAAGGGCCGGTTTATCTATTGAACGAATTTAGAAAAGTTACAATTAAACAAAAAGAGAGTCACACTTATTACTAGATATGCCAGAAGGGCTTGAAGGCGCTACGTATGTAAATACGGGTCGGGGATGGAATGGACCATGAGAAAGGGACAGCACACGCTTTTATAAACTTGAAGACGTCACAAGTGGCGAGACAGCAAGTTTATACGCTATTGGCTGGCTATAATCAGTGGAGCTATCAGTTGCAAGTCTAGTCATTAATTTTGTAGGTGATGGCTGGAAGATAGAGACTAAAAGACGAAAAGTGGACGAAATCCAACCATCCCTAATGACTAGATTGAATTCGGATGAAAAAGGTAGAGGTTTAAGAAAATTCAGGTTACAGGCAATGCAGTGCCCGTGACAGCACTATAGTCTTTGTTAACGCAAAGAAAATGTAAATATAAACACGCCGGTTGATAAAATTTCGTCTCGTCTCTTATATTTAGGCGTTAAGAATATATGAGTTTGAAAATTTAACTTACCGATTTCGAAAAAGGTGCTAGGTCTCCGCCAGGAGAGCTGAAAACAAAAATAAAAGGAAGGATTAATTGATGAACTAATGAGAGGACAGTTTCTATTGATGATTAATTTTTAATAAAAGTTTCCGGCAAAAGGGGCACAGCGACAGGCGTTAGGGCGAGTTTTGCAGAATGATCCTACTGCAAACTCCAGCTAGAGCATAAAGAAGAGTTGCCTATTAAGGAGAATGACGCAAGAATCACGCTAAGCGCATCGGGAAAGCCTGGAATATTCACTCTGTCACTGTCCTCACAAATCTACGTGAGAACTATGGGCCTCTTTAAGCTCTCCGCTCCAAAACCGATACTACGGCACAGGGCACAGGTAAACATTATGTGAGAGGAGTCGTTCCCTCCAACCCTAGCGCACTAGGATGCTACATTGCTACACCGTATTCAACATGGCTGGTGCTTCTGCGTGCAGATCGTGCGGAAGAACCATGGTCTTTATCAACGCAAGGAAAATGTACATAAATATAAACACGTCGCCGGTTGATAAAAACCGTCTCCTCGCGTGATTTTTGGCGGGTTGGCGTCAGCCATGTTGAATATTGCGTGGAATTCTAGTGCGCAAGAGTTGGATGGAACAACTCCTCTTATTACACTGGAAAAAAAACCACATTGGATCAAGAGTCCAGACTCTTGAACACATTGACAAGAAAAAAATACTCTTCATTCAATCAGATTGTTGCTTTAATCAAAAGGAAATCCGCTCAAATTAAGAGGCTTGGTTCTTGATTTAAGCTTTAATCCGATTGAATCAACAGTATTCTTTCTTGTCGATGTTTTTAAGAGTCTGAACTCTGGATCCGATGTGGTTTTTTTCCAATGTACGAGATGTTCACCTGTGCCGTAGTGCCGTTGTGGAGGACGAAGGAAATAAGACGCGCGTGGATCGGTGTGAGAATATTTATTCGAACACCAAAAGAACACTAAAAGAACAACAGCACTATAATCTACGAAACTAGCTGCAAAGGTGAAAGATGCGAGACTGACTCTGGCCGGTCGGGCCGGTGGCATATATATGGGTCCGAAGGATCCTAGAAGAGTCCAGAGGCGCCGAGATGCGGGAGCGCGCAGCGGGGGTGGAACAATGCAGGAAGGCTCGAGAACCTTCCGGGAAAAGGCTCCGCGCGGCGCTTGGCGGGGCGCGTAGTTGCCAACTCGTGAGCCACGCTCAGGAGCGTGGCCTGTGTGGCGTGGACGCCACACCGTTTATGAAGTGGGAACCTTAAAAAACGCATATTTCTTGCGCAGCTTGTGAAGTTAGAGGGTATTTCGGACTTTCCCGATGCGCTTATCGTGATTTCTGGGCCACTTACGATAGGAATTAACTCTTCTTTATACCCTCCTCTGAAGTTTGCTACAGGCCCATTGCAAACAAAAGCACTCTGTTGCAGATTTTTTTTCTCTTCAAGACTTTACTTAAAAATTATTTACACAACGGGACGTTTGGATATAGACTTTTCAAGAAGATCTAAGTCTCCGTAATTAACATTAGATAGGCAAAAAGTGATAATTACGTCATTTGGATGTTTCGTGCTCCATTTAGGAAGTGTCAAGTACACATGATATAATACATCGCTAAGAAGTTGCAATCCCAACATTATATGTTGCGGGACTCGCTTTCCAGCTAAAATTTGAAGAGGATACATATATACAGCGGTACTTTGATTTAAACCTTAATGGCTAATTATAGCAATCGCTCTGCGAAAGCAAATACCAGCTATCTTCGAATTCGCTTCGTTTTCTTTTACTTCTCCAATTAATGCTCTGTAAAACGAAATTGCCGCTTCCCTGTCAAATCTTCTGTAAAAATACCTAACGTACGCGTACTTCAGCGTAGTGTGAAATTCGGGAATTTCGGGAAAAATTTCCTATACGCAAAAATCGATCGATCAGTCGAATATCGAATCGCTCCAGTGTTCGAAACTCACAGGCGCCAACGCGCCGATTGCGGAAATCTGTCATGGCGCCTAAAGAATGAAGGCTCTGCACCAACGTGGCCCCTCAAGTCCCCCCCCCCCCCCCCAAGAAAAAAATCCTACTTTTCCTGGTGGGTGATTTTTCCAAATTTCCCGAAGTTACAGCGACTAGTTCTGTAACCAAAACACCTTGCGACTAACTTTTCATTAAATGCTCAGTGTTATATGGACGTATTTCTGACAGAAGGAACTAAGCGCCAGTTAGAGTTCCTTTTGAGGAATTTAGAATGCCGAATAGCGCCTTCTGTCAAACGGAACTAAGTAAGTGCCATGGAAAAGCCTTGCGAGTATGGACGAAATGAGCCCGACGCCCGGTTCCGCCGCCAATCCAAGCCCCCCTCTACCTTCCTCCCCATATGGCGCTTAGTTCCGTATGATAGAAACACGTCCATATGGGCAAAAAGTCAATCTGACCCCTCACAAATCTTCAATGGCCCCTAAAAATCGAGCTTCATGCGCCACATGGGTCTGGTGCCTTAAAGTTGAGTTTCGAACACTTTCGCTACTCACAGCGCTATGGACCCATCTTAAATAAAGTCGAATCCCTGTTGAATGATTGAAAATTTCCTTGTATTTATACTTATCAATTTCGGGTGGCTTTTCATTTCAGCGCGACCTGGCGGCGATGGGGTGAATCGACTATGGGACCCGACGTGGACGGACAGGCTGAAAACGGACCTGCTGAAATCTTACGACAAGTACTCACGACCGACTGAACATCAAAATATCACCACCGTCTACCTTAGCTTGATCCTCCTACATGTCTCTTTGGTGAGCATTCGATTCTTATGACTGAATAAAAGCAACACACGCATGTGACTTCTATAGCAGGGTTGCGACAGAAGTTGGAAAATTAAATTCCCTGACTATTGAACAAATGCCTGATTGTTAAAAACACGTAAATAGAAATAGTTTTCAGGCGTTTGTTGTTCGAAACGTCAAACTATATCGCGAGAAGGCAAATGAAGGTGATTTAAATTTCAAGGTTTTCTCTGACTTTTTAAAATCCCCAGACGTTTCCCGGTTTTCCCTGAATGTGGAAACCCTGCTACTGGCTATATGAATATCCAACACCCATATTATGTTTATGGTGGACTATGCCGGGAAAACAGTAATCGTTGCCCCTTTGATGCTCATTGCGGATTCTAGATCTTGCCTACTATTCTAGTTACTTTTAGTTACATTGTTACTTTCATGGTAACAACTCTCTTAATCCCGGTAGCAATCGAGAGGCTTGGAGGACAAGGTGCATAAGTGCGGTTTTTGCTATCTCGAGAAATACGTGTTTAAAGTTTCAAATTACATGGACCTTATGGCGGAGAGGAAGTTTTAAACTAACTTTTTGATGCTTTAAAGTTGGATTTTAGTTGTGAATTTTTCAAAGAATACACTTTCAACCTAGTTTTAGTTAAGAGGCCATGAGTGTCTAAATTTGTCCAAAAACTGCACTCATGCGAGTTGTCCTCCAACCCCCTCAATTCTAACTGTAACGACAATGTATCTCGGACCGAAATAATTGTTACCACAAAAGTAACACTATCACGATGACTAATAATGTAGATGAGACCTACAGTCTACTAAAAGCACTTTAGGAGCAAGAATTATTTTTACTCCGTGTTACACACCTAAATTTATTGCGCAACGTTGCTATGATTTCCAAAAGAATTCCAGTTTAATGCGCACGGTTGTGTATCGCTCAAAAACTTTCACTGGTAGCGACCATGTTTAAATTAGAACGAAACAATATTGAGCATAAATCAAAGGGGAAACAACTTTTTAGATTCTATCGCCCCTGTACATGCGGTCTTTGTATGGCACATTATCTGATTTCGATATTGTGAATTTCAGGATTATAGCAAATCGGAAATGGCGCTTAATTGTTGGCTTCCAATGGTAAGAGCCTATTATATTCTTCCCGTTTCTCTATCTTGTGCGTATTGACCTTTGTCGTCCTGGTGCCTGTGTGAGACTATCTTTTTATTCGTCATGGATTTTGAAAATAATCAGTCCAACTGAATTTCACGCAGCCTTTCAAGTTTTATTTCTTAAGAAGAGACCCAAATGATTTTATATTTTGTAAATTTTCACTGGATCGTAAATATATACTCCGGAAATTTCAAGGCAGAATTTTGATTGCTGTTTTGTTGGAAAAATAAAACATGAGAGAAAATTGGACAACACTGAAAAAAAATTCTTGAGATACTATTTTGACTTAAGGCGTTATTTTTTGTCGACAAAATTTGGTTTTTTCCAGTGAAATCCGAGCATAATTAACAAAAAGTCAGTTTTGTTGAGTTAAAAAGCGTCGTTTTGCTATCGTTAAGTTTAAGTTAAAAAATGATAGCTATACAACGTTTCTTTGACTAAAAAAGATCTGACTTAAGTTGAATCCGCACGGATTTAACAAAAAAAAAAAAAAAAAAAAAAAAAAAAAAAAAAAAAAAAAAAAAAACACCAAATTTTGTCGACATGAAACGACGCTAAAAGTCAAAATAATATCTCAAGAAAATTGTTTTTCAGTGAACGTCTAATGTGATTAGGATGATCCGGCTTTTTATCAATTAATTTATTATAGTCTGAGATGACCCAAGACTAGAAGTTTGGAGACTCAAAATTTTCATCGGTAGTAATTGGTAAATTTTCATTGTGGCACAAATTGTGCCCATAAACTAAAAGAAGTGACTTAGTAGGCAGCCACATTTAGTATAGTACGATCACTGAAATAATTTTATTACAATTAAGGTTGGGGAAGTTTGTTATTTTTTTGGCTCTTTTACAGAGTTGGCAGGACGAGAAGCTGAAGTGGAATACAAGTGACTACAATGGAATTTCTCGGATTAACATCCCGCAACATGAGATTTGGCTTCCGGACATCCTCGCTTACAACAGGTCGGTAGGAATCACAGTCACTCAACAAACACGGATGAACGGTTTGCGTTGGAGACACAAGACGGGGGTAGGTTAATTGGCGTTACCTGACTTTTTTGCGTGCATGCCTCCTAGTTTAGGGCCGCAACTTACCCCGTTTGGATCTCAGCTACAAACCGGCAGGTATGGGGCGCAAAAAAGAAAGGTAACGTCGATTGACTTAGAGTCCATGCCAGATAAGTTTACGCGTTTTAGACTGCGACAGAACATGGTCTAACGTCATTTTCGCATGAAAATAAAATGAAAGATATGTATCGGGCTGATCGTTGAAATTGATAGACAAAGCTATGGACAAAGATGACTACCTGAAAATAAAGCGATCCTATTGCTGTGAAAGCAGGTTGATTGAAATGGACATAGGAAGTAGGTAATAAGCAAACGGCAAATCCTGAGAGACCCGTAGTCCATCATTTTCTTCCCGAGTCCAAAAGAATCACCCATTTCAACCGATAGGATCGCTCCATACTCCCTATGTCTTCTCCATCTATACTTTTGTCCATCGATTTCAACAATCAGCCTGCTGACAAGTGCGAATGTGTGTTTCATTGATCGATGAAACCGAAGTGGAGGAAACCATGGTATATACTACCGCGGTGGATGAAGTCATAAATCGAATTTTTCAATGAGCGATATCTCGGTTAATACTGAACGTAGGAAGTTGCTGTTCAGACAGATCTCATTACTTACAGTTGATCTACAAGAATCAAGCATCAAAACACGATTCTGAGACCAGCGCAACAGACCCATTCTGCCATGCTAAGGAAAAACACAATATGAACCTTCAGGCGTTGCCAAATCTCTTTTGATGAAACATTAATTTCCGGGTACGACCCCACCCCTCACCCCCGGTACCCTGGCAACTATGAGCATTTTCCTTCCATTTTTTCTGATAATTTTCTTTGCTATTTCATCTTCAGCGACTGAAAATTTCAAATAGGAAAAATAGGAGCCATAACTTTCCTCAAAAATAAACACTTTGTCGAAGGAAATCTGGCAACTCTCGAGTGTTCATACGGCGTTTTTCCTTAGCACGGCAGCATTTACAAAATGTCTGATGTGACTATTTAGCCCTTACTGAGCTTCTTTTGTTCCTAGCGCGCACGGGAACATAATCGATTACTACGGACAGACGAGCACGATCGTGAAATCCGACGGGTCCGTGTTGTGGGTTCCCCCGAGCCGCTTCACCGTGTTCTGCACCCTGGACCTCACTTACTGGCCGTACGACCAGCAGACCTGCCAGCTCCGCCTCGGCTCCTGGAGCTACGACGGCAACTCCATCGACGTACAGCTCGACAAGGCCAAGGTACTTACGTTCTAGCACAGAATACCTACAAGTTGGCATCATATTTACCCTTAAGTTCTCAATATGGAACATTTTTCTGGCAAATTCAATGCAACCATGATGGATGGTACGGTAAAGCCTTCATGCAACTATTCATGCTCAAGGGATGTCCACGCTGCCTATCCACGAAAACGAAGGCCCTACGGGTATCTTCTCAAACAGCAGCAGGGCACTGCCATGCTAGGCCAATACCGTATGAGCCATTGGACGTCAACAAATTCCCTCCAACAAATCAAAAATTTTCAGGAAAATGTGTGAGCATTCCTCTACCAATTTTTCAGAGGATTTTGTTCGTGATTTGATTGAAAAGGTCTGAAAATCGCAAGGAAATATACTCATGACATTCATCAAAAATGAAGATTTTCTGAGCGGAAATTTGACAACTCTCGAATGCTCATAAGCCGGACTCGCATTTACTTTGCAAGGCAGAGCAATACGCGACACGCATGCGCAAGTTGCTGGCGATGTATGTCCGAATGAATGTCGACTAGTCCCTTTACTTACTCTCCCGCGTCAAACTAGAATGTCATGGGAGCATCCGAACTATATTTCGTCACTATATCACTATATTTCCTTCAATAGAATGTGTAATTTTGAGGATGATAGGGAGATTCTTCTTCGAAATTTTCAGAAAAATCAAATTGCGTTGGACTTCATTTTGCAATAAGGAAGTATTTCTGGTTCAAAAGCACCTCAATAAGGAAGTATTTCTGGTTCAAAAGCACCTATCAGTCGAGAAAAAAGTATGACTAATAAGGTTTCACTAAAATGAGGCAGGAATAGCGTTTCTTCATTGCAAACTGTAGTCCATCTATTGAAGCACAAGTAAAATCATGCATATAGCGAAAATGTTAATTTTTAAGCATTCAGATTCAGTAATAATACCTAATGTGAGAAAAAACACTAAGAAGTGGCCCGAATACTGTGTGTAACAAGGTATGAACAGTCTCCCGGCTCCCGCCTCAGTTTGGTACTGGTACTCATTGGAGTTAAAACATTTATTTTTGACTCTAATTATAATTTTTGGAACTTCTTGACTTTGATTTCCCCGCGAAATGGTGTGAACCCAGCATCATTCCTCCACGTTGTTAAAAATTGCACGGATAACGAAATGATCCAAATTCGCAAATATTTTCATTGTAAATAATATGTTTGCAGTCCTCTATCGAAGATCTGGAGGTCTCTGAATGGAAAGTAATCGATGTCTCACAAAAGAGGTTCGTTCAATATTACCACCATTGCCCGGAGCCCTACGTCGAAATCATATTTTCTTACACTGTGAAAAAAGAGTCTCCGGCCTTCTTCTACACTATCATCTTTCCAGCCATAGGTAAAGTCTCGTCGTCTCAAAATCATACCTGCTCACTCGTCATTCGTAGACGGTCCATTGGTTCAAAAAAATACCTTATACTTTTTGATTGAAATGAACTGCTTTTCTTAAGGAAAGAGCTGGAAAAGGTAGCATTCTAAAACCCGTAACTGGATCAAAATAGGGGCGATAAAGTCGGCCATTATAGTTTTTTTTTTTCAAAAATATAAAAAATAGAGGGTTCCTGGCATTTTTGAATTGTGGCCAACGGTCCATGAGGAAAAAAAAAGGAGCAACAAATTCAAGCCCAGACTTCTGAGAGTTTGAATATTAAATTAATGAAGTATTTCAAACAGTACATTTGTCTGAGCCAACGACCACTAGGTTACGCAATATCCGGAAATAACAAAAAACTCTTTCAAATAGATGATAATTCAATTATTGCACATAATGGGGGATGAGTTTAGGGATGTAATGTAATAAATAGAGCAAAATGTATGATGTCTAAACTTATACGAGATCCGTTTGCCTCAGTTTTAAAATTTGAAAGACATCAGCGGAAATTCTGGTAGAAATTTTAGTGTCGATTCCATTTTCCTGAAACTTGGTCATGAATTTTCAACAAAAAAAATCCGTTTTTATGATTTCCCCGACACGAAAATTGCTTGCAAAATAAAATTCCCTGACCTGCCAAATCTTGGCAGATTTCCTGACGTTTTCCCTGATTTCCCAGTTTCCCAGGTCGCTAGACACCCAGTAATATTCGAAAATGATGGTACAGTTCTAAAATTTCTAGCACTTTTTCTCATGATGGTATTTTTTTCAGTGACGATGATGCTAACAATGAGTGCATTTTGGCTGCCTCCGGAATCGATGGAGAGATTCATCCTTAACGGTATCTGCGCTGTTATTGCTGTCCTCTTCCTCATCTACTTCTCAATCAAGTTACCTATCATGGTCCACACACCCCTCATAGGTTTGTATCGCTGAATTGACGTCATAGTTTCTGGTAATTTCCATTATTCTAAGTGCCTGACAACTGAGAACTTCCTTGTCAGCCAACTGAGCCAATGATTGACGCAAACGAGTCAATATTGAAGTTCTTAGCTATCCTATTCTATAAAACCAAATTTTTAAAGTGATGATTTCTTTCATGTTTTGTCTCCTTTTTCGCCTACAATTTTACCGCAATCCCCCTCCCTACCCCCAACAAAAAGTATATAAAAATATAGCGGACGATTTTTACCGCAATTTTAGGAAAAAACACGTCATTTTGTTGGAGGAGTCCCGTGTACCTCACAAACTCACATTTTCCTTAATTTGATTCTCCTCGAACTTTAAGAAAAATTACTGTGGAGATGAAATGTCAACATTTGGCACGAGGTTTTGGGTCAGCTTGAGAGAAGTTTTTGAAAAGTAAGGTCTTAGCGTAGGTAAAGCAAGTTCTTTAAAAGCCACTATCTCTCAAACATACATAAGGAGCTTAGGGAGCTGAATTTTTATTTAGAACGCTTACGAATTTAATTCCTAGATAAATTTTGTCTTACCTTGCGCTCTGAAAATGCTTCAAGGTAAAAATTGTGCGAAATTTGGGGGGGGGGGAATGCATTCTTAAAGGCTTCAGCACACGAGGATTTTTACTTTTATACTAGCAGGAAACCCGTGCTACGCACAGGAAAACCCCACCATCAGCAATCACTGTGATTAGTGATCAGTTACTAATTGTGTTTCTGAATTATCGTCTACTATTTCAAAATTGGCGAGACACACTGGTTTGATAAAAAAGTAGAAATTAGTAGTATGCTGCTATTTTGGTCTGTTCTTCAGTAAGCTCATATGATAATTGTAATAATCAAAAATACCCAATCAAAAGTTGGTTATTTTCATAAAGATTTGATACTTTTGTCAGTTCAATGTTTAATTGAAGTTAGCTGGTGAGTTTCAGCCGCGAAAATTACGGGATTTAACCAGCGGTTTCGTTTAATTCTCAGCAATGGCGGGTTTGTCATCTACATCGCGGAGAAAACTTGATTTTTCCAGGGATTTTGTAAAACAAATTAGAAATTACACGATATCACGGCAAATACGTCGTGTTCCTAGCGAATTTCTAAGATCATTATAATTAATTGCGAGTTATTCACATCAATATCGTGGCATACACGCGAATTTCTGACTCAATTAAGACTACGTAAATGTGCGCATA